CAGGCAGCACGTAATTGGCAACACCTAAGTATGAGTATTACTATTAACGAATTCTTCCCACCCCTCAGCACTGTATTAGATTATTGTCTGCGTCTTCCCTGTCCAGGTGCATACTCATCATACTCATCACCGTGACTTGATTCCCACTAGGACTATCACACGAATTGAAGAAATCGATACGGTACAGATACACAAGGTTCATGGCTTGCAGGGCCGGTGGATGTCATCTCTTTCAGTTATGTCTGCAGCACAGGGGTGGCTTCGACTCAGTTCTGCGATTTTCCCCTGTGGCCCATCTTCCCCTCATTATGGTGCAACTGGAGGAGGGGGGGTTTTGGGAAGGAGTACGGAGTGCAGAGAGCGATAGCCCGGGAGGAGACGACGTTGCAGGGAGGGGCCAAGGAGAAGATAACCATCCACCCCTCTTTCTTTCCTTCTCCCCACTCAGGTCTTACTGCGTACGGAGTAGAAGGAAACTGGGAGATGCGCGTCAGTGGTGATTTGGGCACTGATGCAGTGTGCGCCGAGTGCGGACATATGCTGATCACTTGAGAGGAGAGAAGAGGACAACAAGTGTAGTCATTCAACCTGTGCCATAGACGAATTCGCACTCGTGCAGATGTGGATATTTCGCTGCTGCTGAGTCTGCTGGTCGATGGTGGACATCGTGGAGCCAACGGCACGACCGACGGCCCGGTTGAGGCGCGCGGACAGCAGCAAAAGCAGGCAATAGATGCACGTCAATGCTATCCTGATGGCCGGACCCCCCAAGAACCTGTCAGCCTGTCGAGGACTAGACACAGAGCCACCATCATTGGGGGAGACGAACTGGCGGTAAGAAAATCGCGAGACAGAGGTATGGAGAGGAGAGCCCTTAGCGCAAGATGACAGAAGGTTTGTATCAAATTTACAGACGTGTCGACCAAAGAGAAGGTAGAGCCATGACATGCTAACGCTCGACAAGTCCAATCTCAATCAAAAATGCCCGTTGTGGCAAACATACAGGACGTGATCGATGCCCACTAGGCGGATTACAGTATGCAGGGCGCCCCGACATTTTCAAAAACACGTGAAAATCTCGACCGACTAGCCCTCAAACACCGGAAGAAAGTACGCGCGAGACGAGGAGATACATATAGCGAGGAATCATTATACTAGAAAACATGAAACCACAGACCTAATCTGAAAGATAAGAGTTCGAGTCGTGCTTGGTGTTGTCTAGAGCTTTAGTCTTCCGAAGCCTCTGAATCGGTAACGACATCCTCCTCCATCGCATCAGGCATGACGACGCTGTTGAGATACGTAACCTGCCAGATGAAGTTACCTTATGGTCAGCTACAGGAGAACAATAATGATGGTTTTGTTTCGACGCCCTTGCCACCTCGCAAGGTCTCGACTTTGTTGAGTGGTGGGTAATGGTAGGTATTTTGCGCCCGAAGCCACACCGCTGGAGGCTAAGAAGGGAAAGGCAAAGAGGGGACAAGGGGCAAGGAGGAAACACCGTCCGTGTATTGTTGATACGGGTGCTAGGATTCAATGGACGCAGATGCGGGCAAGCGGAGAGAAAGGGATTCGAGTGGCTTACGAAGGGCTCCATGATTTCAACCAGTGCTGCAATCCTGTCCTGGACATTGGGACTTAGCAACTCCTCATCCGAGAGAGGCCTGCCGATGGTGAAACTGCGCAGACGGAGCAACTGGATATTCTCATTATCGGCATCGTAGCCCTAGACAGAAGGAGAGTTGTTTATCAGTATCGTAATTGGACAAGAACGGGGACCCGCCGGGACGGCGGCATATGCTGAACCATGGAAACAAATGAGCCGGTGCAAAAATCTCTTCGAGGCCAAAGTACTCCAGTGGGACGCCCAAGCACGCATTTCCGCGCCAGAACCAAAAACGGCACTTGGGAGCTATGTCCCCCGATCAGCGCCTGAGGCAGAGAGACACGCCTGGTCCGAGTCGCTCGTCCGCGGCTGCGCTTACACACCCGTCACAACGGACCAGTCAGTCTCACTGCCATCAAGCATAAGGCTGCCAGTGCCTTTGTCCATCGTCAAACAAATGTTTGCTTGATTGTATCAGCTGGAAGACGATTTGTGAGAATTTCTCAAGCGACTGGCGCGGCAGAAAATCGCTTTTGTGACCCAGAGATGACGCACGACATCACAACATGACTCTGTCACCTGAACCATTAACAAGAGACCATATTCCGTCTTGACGCGACATCAACAGGTTTTCGATATCGTGCTGCTATCGTTTCGATAGGGAGCTCTGTTTCCAGCGATGGAACTAATGGCATTGTCGCCCAACACCAATCCCAGGTTCGATCATAACAGGCAGACATAACAATAGGGGCATTGGCCTGTGTTGGAAAAGGCAGAGAGAGATCCATCTGGTACACAAAGGCCAATAGACATGGGAGCAAAAGGCAAGTGCCCTGAGGTTGCAGCAAAAAGAGTCCCTTGCAAGGGAATGACGCTTACCTTGGGCTTGGTCTTGAGAGCGCTCTCCTTGTTGTGGCTAACAAGGGCTTCTACAGCTTTCTCATCATCGTCCGGGATGCCCCTGAATATTTCTTGACGCATTTTTGGCGCTCTCAGAATTTTCTTGAGGCGATGAGAACGGCGATCGATATCCTGTCGAAGACGAGCCAGTCTATCGGCCTCTGGCGCCCAAAGGCCCGAACCTAGAACCCATACCTCTTGTTAGCTCGGCTGTCCTAACAAAGTATAATGACCCCGCGTGTGCCATCGCTTGCGAAAGACCTATTGAACCTGCCAGACTCGACCGCATCCGGGCGCATGACACGAGCTTCAGCCACAACATGAGATGAGGAAAGTCGGGACGGGGAGTGTGTAAGGAACAATGGATGTCTTGAAGAAGGCGAAAGTTTCCCAGATGCGGTGAGGACAGGCTCGATGGAGACACGAATCTGGCTGGCATGCGACCGTGTCAAAGTGGGTACTTCAACTTGCATAACTCACCGACGAAACTTGCCCCTGGTTGGCAGTGGACGTAGTATGCAGCGTAAGGGCCCTTCTTGCCGGTGCGGGACCTAACAAGAGTTAGCTTATGCTGATGTTCGCCGGGTGTTGGCTAGGCACATACCAAGCTGCTGAAAAGTGCGTCTGTTTAAGATTCACAATTAGCCCAACGATGCATCGAATCCTCCAGCCGGGAGGCAGTAAAGATAGTAGACACATGAGCCTACCTTGTACGGAAGAGGGTTTTTGCTGAACCTGATGTCTCTGTGTATGCGAAAGACCTGCGTTAAGACAAATTAACGTCAACTTCTTCGAGTTCTTCCTGCTCTATCTGACACTGAGGGCTCTTCACTTACAAGATCCTTGACAGGCAATTCGGGGATTGTGCCGTCCTGATCTATGATCTGCTCTGTGAGAGTCTCGACAAAGGTTTCCCAGTCCTTTTTGGCAGCGCGGTAGTCCGCGTCATGTGCTGTGACCGGGTCATCCGTTAGCTTGGCACTCGGATACAGACGTTTGAAGCTCGGTCAGATCAGAAGTACCTTTCAGCCATTGCCTGTCATTGTTCTTTGCCAAATCTTGGAGAAAGAGAATAGTGTTGGGATGCAGAACACTATCTTTGTAAGCTACAGCGCCAGGGTCTCTGGCCTTGGGCTTCTTGATGAACACTTCTTTTCCTGGCCCAAGGCCGGTTTTGACCCCTTCTCTCCATAGCTCTTTGCCGGCCAATGACACAGTCGTGTCTTCTTCCGCACTATCTGAGCCATTTATTCTCGAGCCAGCGGTGCTAGATTGCTTTCCGCGGCTCTGGCGGCGTTTAGGCGCAGGGCTATACTCTTCTTCTTCAGACTCAAGCTCCTCATCGCTCGGGGCTGATGGCGATGCTTCTTCAGCGAAATCTGAGCCGGAGTCGGAAGATGTGGGGACGCTTGTGTCGGTGTCCTCGTAGTCGGGGATTTTCGGCGCAGCTGCCTCTTTGGAGTCAAGCTCCGGATCTTCAGACGGCTCCTCTTGGAAATATTTGCTCTTTTTCGTGGTGGATTTAATCTGCTTCTGAGCAGGAGCGGTATCGTACTTTTGTCTCTTGGGCTCCGTTCTGGATGCTTCGGAGAGTCTGGCGGACACGCGCCTTTTTGGCGCGGCTTCTGGAGCTGCGGCTGCCGCGGGAACGGGCCGAGACGATCGACGAGGCATGGCTAAGGACCAGAGTTCTGGAAGTTGTTTGTCGCAAGAAGACGGAGATAATGCTTATGGTAAGGTCCGTCGTCTCTGGATACTATAAGTTACTGCGTGGGTGTGGAGGGGAGTTGCAACTGAGATGGCAAATTCCGCGGAGGAGGAAAATCCGATGATGACGCTAGAAAGAATTGACAGCCCGATGGATCGTCTTCTTTAGGACGGACTGGGGCTTATGGGGGGGAGGTGGGGGGGCCGTGAAGGGGGGTAGGGGTATGCCGGTACGGAGCGTCGGAGGCCCTCCGTCGTTAGCGACAAATTGACTTTCCAGCGGTTCGAGCGGACAACAAGGGACCAGGAATAATGAGACCAGGAGGCTGGTAACTTCTGGGGCCAAATTTTCGCGTGGGAAAAGGCGGCGAGTTCGTCTCATTTGCTTCCCGCTCCGCTAAACTATCCTTAGCGTTGCCGCCGCCGCTCGGCAAGTCGACGTCAGTCCGTCTTTTTTTTTCCCCTTTCCCTCGTTCGAGAAGGATTGGCAGGCGCAACTTAGTGTGACAGTCAGAGTTATCTCACAATCGCACAGGTTTTTTCTTGTCACTGATTTTCGGCCGTGGGGTTTCAGTAGCTAGGTAATCTATTGATCGTTTTTTGTCAGCGGACTGCGGATATCTCTTGGTTAGTCGGATCAGGAGGAGGAAGGAGAAGAAAAAAAAAGGATCACCAGAGCTGCCCCGCCTTAGATAGCCGGTTTCTGACGGTTCTGGGGTAATCGAGAAGAATTGTTGGATCCAATACCATAGTGAACAAGCGAGGAAAACAAGCGCAAAGGCCCATCATGAGTGGTCCCGAATCCCGCCCAATACCCGAGGCTTTTGAGCTTCGAAAGCGCAAGATTCTTGCCGAATTATCCATTCCTGACGCAGAGTATACTGATCTCTCACCCAAGGGGTCGGTGGATGAAGGCATCCGTGAGCTGATCGATGATATCAATACCTTGCCCGGACTAGTAACCACCAGCAGCTGTGCAGGGCGGCTCAGTGTTTTCCTAGAGGGGAGAAAGAAACAGCATCAGCAACAGTCGTCAGAAGGGCAGCAGAGACAATTCGTACCTTCAGGGGGCAAAGGAGCCGGGAAATGGCTGTATGTCTCCCATGACGCGTTGAAGGAGTATGGAGAAAAGCAAGGTGAAGAAGAAGATGAGGAAGAGGAGAACAACAAGAGACCGCTGCACCGCTTATTCGGGATGAGTCCTGGAGATGGGAAACCGCCCAAGCTGGACGGATCCGGTCAAGCCCCGCGTCTCGTGCGCTTCTCCTATGAGCCGATGGTAAATGCCCTTCAGTGCTATTTCGTTCCTTCCTTTTCGTTGCTATTCACCTACCCTCCCTGGCGACTTTGTATACATCTTTCATTCGAATTACTTTTCTCCTCAATCATCTACAGCATGCGATCAATGATCACAGTCAAGGTCTCTAACCTTACCTAGATTCTCCATATAATGGCAGCGACCCTCCACCACGCCAACCCCGTCCTCTCCGCCGCCTCCAGCTCTGGGTTCCGCGAAAGCGGACTCCAGAGCCTTCGCTGTCTAGATGCGGACGACGCGGACGGCCCCAGTCCCATCGTTGCTGTCCGCTCCGCCGGCATGGCTCTGGAGTCTGTCATTGGGTACTGCGAAGAGAAGCAGGATGACGACGATGACGAGTCCGAGCCCGTCATTCGCAGTTTGGTCACGGAGGAGTACCTGGAAATGTTGATCGCCATCTCGAACGAACGGTTCGTCGTCAATTCGGAACGCAAGGAACGCTTCCGGTCAAGTCTGGTGGAGATGTGTTCCGCGGTTCATGCTCCAGGCGCGAAGGCGAAGGGGAAAGCCAGACCCGTGGGCTGGGAGGATCCTGCTGCACGCAGGGAGAGGATGAGGGCGGAAGGACTACGGAAGAAGCAGCAACAGCAGCAACCTGAACAGACGAGCGGAACAGAAGAAGGAGATGGTAGTGCGATTAACAATTTCGATTTATTCATTGGAGACTAATTTTGGCGATATTCGAGATTGACAGCATAATAGAAGCAAGAACATGGAAAATCATGAGATATTAAGGCTTTGGCAGGCTCAAGAGAAACAAAGAACAAGAAGAAAACAAGAAGAACGATACATTCATAGCTTAAAGGCAGTGTACCCGTGTAGCATGTGCTCTTGAACTGATAGCACTTCATGAAATGACGCTCTGAAATTCGTGCAGGGGAAATTCAACCAGTAACCAAGTCCGCAAATACAAGCAAAGTAGAGAGACGCTGAAAATAACAAAAGAAATAGGGGGAATCTCGTAAGTAAAAGAACAAATATGTCGACCTAGATTATGGATGGACCAATAGGCACCACACCATATGCAAATCTAGATCCAATCTGTGCAGTAGAGCAAAGTCAATTGTTGGGCACGCAAGAAAGTCAAAAGCATTGCAGTTGAAGAATTATGAGCGCTGTACTTTTGAACTTCGGTGTTGAATCGCTCGGATATCAATCATCGAAGACCGGTACATTGACTGGAGAAGATCTGGTGAAGCGGTGCCCTGGAAAACCATCACGGCCTCTGCCACCTGAATGGAGAAGTAGCCTGGAATTCCAAGGGTTGTCCTCAATGCCGCTGTAAGAGTAAGCGCGCATGTGCCATGAGTCACTTGCCCGGCGCGGAGGAGGTGAAAACACATCGTACTGGGACTGACTGTCTGTGTCTGGTGACATGACGCTGCTCCGAGTGCTGTGACTTCCGAAAGATAGCTTTCTTCCATGGTGGTTTCTAGATCCGCTAGATAGAAGATCAAACAAGATGTTGGTCTCATGACTGACCGCGTCCTGCCAGAGCGTGCGCTTAGCAACTTCCTCGGGCCATTCAAACCAGATCGGGCCAAAGGGCGAGATGAGGCTGACATTATCCGAGGGGAAGTTGTTTGGGAGTTCTGGGTGAGACATGGCGTGGATCGAGCCCTTGGAGATCAAATCCACAATAAACTGAATATAGAGTTAGAACGTAGGCTGCCACACTATGCCATGACATTGAAGGGAGTAAGAGGTCTAGAAGAGCAGGCTCCCGATACACATACCTTGTAAGTGTGCTCATCGAGGTTAGGCATAGTAGCCAAGGTGTCAAAGGGAAACCATTTACTGATGTCCGATAGTTTATTTAATTCAGCGAAGTTCTCTGCGTTGACACACATGGTATATCTCTGGCGCTCGTTGAAGCCTGGACATTCGAGTCCGGAACGAAGAAGGTCATTCAAGAGCCGCTGATCCAGACCCACTGTATTCGCTCTACTCATACGAGTAAGAAGAGCCATAACCTGGCGATTGACCAAGTCAAAGAGCAAGTTACGATCATGGACCGTGTAAAGGTCAACGGCATACCAGGGGAACTGAATTTCTGTTAGCAAACTTACTTCGCATGATTCCGATCAATCTCACTTACCTTGTAGAGGGTACTGATGGTGGATTCATAAGTACGCTGAGGGCATTTAGTACTGAAAGGAGACTGGCAATGGTCAGGCTTCGCAATCGATGAAGATGGTTCCGGGGGTTGTTTACTCTATGAGGCATCTCCGCATGACGAATAGCACCGATTATCTCCTCGCTGGTGAAGAAGCCAGCAAAACCCGTCGAATAGGGATCGTTGTTGCGGAGAACAGTGGGCATACCTGCCTGCCAGTGGACACACTTTGCACGAGGGAAGAGATCGCGCAGCAGTGCATCCTGAGAACTAATTTCGACATCAACGTGTCTGTTCCCCAAGCGAGGAGGACGGCCAGTTTCCTGGATACGATCAATTCTCTTCACGGTCTCTTCAACATCTCCTGGTGTCGCAAATTCCACATAGCAATCCATTGTCTTCGCAGTTGAGCGCTCCATTATGATGTGGACGGCTTGACCCGAGCTAAGGCGAGACTGGCGTCCCACGAATTGTAGTATCTCTTGCTTGGTGATAGAATAGGGAATCTGTTCCGGGTTTAGTTGTGTGCTTCTGAAGGCATGAATGGTCACCTACATTGGAGATCTTCATAACGCCTGCGGCTGGTGGTTGTTGCAGGAGGGTAAGACTGCCGATTGGCATCTCGTCAGGCAAGCCACCTTTCGCAACGGCCTTGAGAATATTCTGAGCCTCGTGTAGATGGTTTCCGACGACCACAGAGGAGTTTCGACGATGGGACAGAAGTGAACCAGCCACTCCATATTGGCAACGTGAGTGACCCAGGGGAACTGGGGTGGGTGAATTTGAAGAATATGGTGTCAGAGACAAACTCCCCATCTTCGCAGTCAGCAAATCTCCACAGGCAGCCCGAGAGTCGAGTGCCAACTCCCCAGTGAGGCCACTTGAAAGTCGCCTGTGACTTGCAGCAGGGGAGAAGAGCTCTCTTGGCGACGCCATATGGTCATCGTCGTGATGTTTTGGAGTAGCAGGGGGGTTGGTATGACCAGACTGCGCCATCTTGACAAGTAGTCGGAGGTGAGATGTGTAGAGAGAAAGAAGAAGACAAGTTATAATGAGATGTGAAGAAATGAATTCAGCCTGGATCCTGGTTGAGTAGCCTGAAGAGCGACCATATACAGCCTGCGCAGCCGCGTTTCATCTATTCACCTCAGGTGCTGAAGCGCAGCAATGACCACACAGCGTGTTACCGGACCGTAAGAAAGGTTTTACTGAAATGCACCATAACCCAAGGGTACTCCTTACCTTGTTGCGGCAGATATGAGGCGTAGGTCATCATTTGAAGGTAGGAAGGTGAGTGATGCAACAGTCCGATAATGAGGCTATTCAGTGGTTTATGTGAAGGAGAACATAGCTTAACGGCTCGATAGGGTATCATTTAGTGTAAGACCTACAATTGAAAGGTTCTAAGCCTCAAGTAACATAGAACTATAAGCTATACAATGCCATTTATAGCGGCAGGATCATTCACTAGTACGCCAGAGCGAGTCTGAAATGAGGTAGCATCGGTAGAGTCGTTTGGTCATGTTTGGAGACATTCACTCGACCTACCGGCCTATCAGGCATCAGTCAGCCATGAAAGCAGCCAAAAGCACCATAGCGTTTCAGCTAAGTGAGCAAGCAGCCGATAGAGGCGCCCCTAGAGATTTCCACCATGTCAGCGACATAAAAGCCCGTGCGGCGCGTTTCTGGTACTCCACATCTACACTTGTCAGTAGAACTATACTGAATATTCTTGGGAAGAGCTGTCTATGCAAAAACTGGACACGATTCAGGGATGGAATGACAACTGGAAATTTGTAAAGGAACAAGCATAGAAAAAACACAGCGATTTCCTAGCACCAGCCCAGATCGCCTGTACAATGATTGCTCCTGGGAAAGGAAACCTGATTCATTTAGAACAAGAACAGTGGCATTAAAGCATACATTTAGTCGAACTGCGACGCCATGTTAGCGGTCTTCCATCGTAGTGCTTAGCCTGGATGCTTACCGGTGTCAAGAACGACTCAGCCACGAAACGGGCACGCGCGTTCAGCTACAGACCATTAGCATGAGGTTGTCTCTTGATAAGGAGTTTGAAACTTACGAAAAGCTTCATCTCCGAGATTTCCTTGTCCACCTCTTCCATAAACTCGATCACGAAATCCACGATCTTATGTTTCAGCATAGCCTCAGTATGGAAGTTCGTGATTAGGAACGATATATCATAGCCCTCCACCGGCTTCCTCCGGAGAATCAGGAACGCATCTGCACGCTGCGTTAAGAACCTCGCAAACTTATGCACTAAGATATGTTCGATTTCGTCGGCCTGTTTGACCTTGAGGGACACACGGACGGAGTTGACCGAGGGTTCGATGAAGGTGCGTTCGTCCTATTCAACAACGAAAATCGCATTAGATAAATACAGTATCAACATTAATCTAGATCGAGAGCACGTACGGAGTTTCGCGAAATGATCAATGGGTTGAGCAGAAGCTCAGGAGAGCTTGCTGCTTCAATCTCTGGCACATTGTGCCTTTCCGAAGTCTGGCTGGCGAAATTGGAGATAGCGAGCGCCGCCGAAAGTGACGAGCGAACACATTGAAGATACGGCCGGAGACTTGTGCTCTATTGTAGTGTGTATGAGCATCTTAACCTAGACACAGCCCACTGCTCTGGTTGTAGTGCTCGGGATGCAGCGCTCACCATTGTGACGTAGTTCCAATGCTAGATCTCTGGCAAATGAATCAGAATGAAATGGCCTCACAGATTGTGATGCTTTATATAGTGAGAAATGTAGAGCTTGATGCTGAACAGAAGAATAATTCCGCCTGTTGTTGTTGTTGCTTCGCTAAAGGAGGCAGATGATGATGCTACCTACTCAGCACTCAGGAGGGGCGGTCCCCGCAGGGCGGTAATGCAGCCTGCTGTCCATTGCCTCACCGCCTGCCCCACCGCCGCCGCGGAGTTAACTGACGCAGTCATCACCCATTGCCTCATCATTGCCGCCAGAGCTTAGATAGAAACCATCGATTGTTGCATCTCGAATTACATTGAAGCAAGCTAAGATGGCTTCCATACCAGGTGCGTGGTGACTCCTGAGAGATTGCACTCGAACTTCGAGTTCCTCATCCCGCTGCTAACGCCATGACAGTGATTATCAAACACCAGGGCAAACGCCACGAGGTCGAGCTCGATCCTTCACTGAACGGTGAAACGCTGAAGTATCAGCTCTTCTCCCTTACCGGCGTCGAACCCGAGCGACAGAAGATTTTGGTCAAGGGTGGTCAACTGAAGGATGAGACCCCATTGTCTTCTCTCAACGCCAAACCAGGGCAAACATTCATGATGATGGGCACACCATCTGGTAACCAGGGCGTTGCTGACTTGGGCCGACCAAAACAAGTGATGAAGTTCTTAGAAGACATGACGGAAGCAGAGGCTGCCAAGGCCGAGGGTGCAACTCCTGCTGGTCTGCAGAACCTTGGCAATACTTGCTACCTCAACTCTACCCTTCAGGCTCTGAGGGGCGTTCCCGAGCTCCAGGAGGAATTGCTCAGGTATCGACCCGCTGCGGGCTCTAGCGGGGGCTCCAGTCTTGCAGGACTTAGTAGCCTCGGTCTAGGAGGTCTGGGTGCTTCGACCGATCTTACTGCTTCTCTTCGAGATTTGTTCAAACAGATGTCTGAGACGCAGGAAGGCTTCCCGCCACTCATGTTCCTTAATGCCTTGAGAAATGCCTACCCTCAGTTTGCTCAAAGAGACCGGAACGGACATGGGTATGCTCAACAAGATGCTGAAGAGGCTTGGTCACAGATTGTGACCCAGCTCAGGAACAAGCTGGTCATCAAAGAAGGCGAAGGGGAGTCTGCGACGGAGGTGCCGTTTGTGGATAAGTATCTTGCTGGAAGATTTGAGTCGGTGACGGAATGCGACGACTCCGCAGCCAAGGAGGTTGGCGAGAAGCCTACTGAGAGTACGGATGTGTTTTACAAGCTCGACTGCCACATTGGCAAGGAAACAAATCACCTGAGCGACGGCATCATGGCCGGTCTCGAGGAGAAGATCGAGAAGCACTCCCCAACTCTGGACCGCGATGCCGTCTACACAAAGCGCTCTCGCATAGCGCGCTTGCCCAAGTATCTCACGGTGCATTTTGTCCGATTCTTCTGGAAACGCGAAACCCAGAAGAAGGCCAAGATCATGCGGAAAGTTACATTTCCTCACGAGCTTGACGTGGTTGACTTTTGTACCGAGGAGCTGAAAAAGCAGCTTATTCCTGTCAGGGACAAGGTCCGAGAGATCCGAAAGGAGGAGGTGGATGTTGAACGGGCTCGCAAGCGCCAGAAGCTTGCTCATCGCCAAGAAGAGGGCAAGAAGGAAGAAGGCGACTCCTCCAGCATGGAGCCCATGCAGAAGAAGAAAGCAGCCGAAGAGCGCAAGGAGGATAAGGATGAAGCCATGACCGACGTATTCAAGACCGACGCCGAATACGAGGCCGAAAAAACCGCATCGATCCTTGCTGCCAAGAAGGAATTGTCCGCATTGATCGATCAGAAGCTTGCAGCTGATGCTGGAGCCAACACAACTGGTCTTTACGAGCTTCGTGGTGTGATCACCCACCAGGGTGCCAGCGCTGATAGTGGTCACTATACAGCCTATGTGAAGAAGCAGGACAAGGACAACTCTGGCAGCGCTGAAGGCAAGTGGTGGTGGTTCAATGACGAGAAGGTGACTGAAGTGGATGGAGAGAAGATCGAGACTCTCGCTGGTGGTGGTAAGTCCTTACTTTCGAAGTGTCTCACATTAGTCTCTAACATGGCCCACCAGGTGAATCTCACTCTGCTTTGATCCTCCTTTACCGTGCAGTGGAAATGCCTCGTGAGGACTGAGCAGTCTCGCCGCAGCAGGATATAATGATTGATGCGATAACTACACCTCCATAGATGACGAACTGAATTGATACTTAGCTTAGCTGCTCACCAGAGCAGAATACATTACTTCTCTATAAATATCCTTACCCAGGTTTTGGTACTGCCACAGACTATAATTCTGCCAAGGATTCTTCGTCTTTTCTTACCCTTGCTCCATCAACTCGACTTGTAACTAAATAGAGCGTACACCAAGCCATGTGCGGTATTCCTGTAGGTGCATGTAGTTGTAAACTGGGTCACGTGACTGATACCGGCGCTTCTCTTATCTATTCACCGATCCTCCGCATTGGAGACGAGCTTCCCAGCAATGCACTTCATCGCAACTCCGATGCTGAGCAGTATGTTCCGTCTACATAGAGTCTGCCTATCGCAGGCGCCTCATCTTGCGACCGTATCACAATCAGTTGCACGCTATGCGCGTGCAAACACAAGGGCTCTGAATACTGCCGCCCAGCCATCGTTCCTCCGATCGTCGCGATGGCCGCGACGATTGCTCTACATGGCGGTCTTCGGCACCTGTGGCGCAGCCTTCATAGGCAGCTGGATGGATGAGAATGTCTCCGCGCCCGCTCTACCAGGTACGCTCGAAGATCAGGGACGACTCGAGGCGATCAATTCGAAATTCGAACACTGGCTGCCGATCGTGCAGAGGTTGCGAGCGAACCCCGACTACGTGGAGGCCGATGTCTACGGCAATTTCTCCGAGGACGAGAAAACGCAAAGGCTCACCTCCGGTCCGCTGCGAGGGAGTAGAGGAATAGGACTTCAGGTACGTTGCTTGTCCGACCCCGGGCTGGGATGATGCAACGATCCAGACCGGACGCAGTGAAACCTCAATGCATTCCCTGGCGTGGGATTTGGCCTGGTTGGACTATCTCTTTTGACTGACGGCTGAGTACAGAGGGTCTTTTACAATGACAAGGAAAAAACGGCCGTCAATGTCGCATACCTTGGGCCGGGTCTGGAAGGGTGGCCGACCATGGTCCACGGAGGAGCGCTCGGTACGATCATTGATGAGCATCTCGGCCGTGTCGCAATCCGGAATCTCCCCCAACGCACCGGAGTCACAGCCAATCTCGAGCTCCAATACCGGGCACCGGTCTTTTCCAACAACTTCTACACATTCCATGCCACTCTGGATCAGGAGAGAAGTACGGAGCGCAAAGCCTTTGTCCGAGGCGAAGTTCGTGATATGGTTGGGAAATTGTGCGTCGAGGCCAGCGCATTATTCGTCGTCCCCAAGAACTACAAGCTCCGTGAAGATGGGGAGCGCTTCTAGCACAGTGGCATGAATGAGCCTCGCTTGACGGGTCGACGCGAGTGTGTCACGGGATTTGTCCGTACCGGGTAGAATTAGAGTTTCGTCTGTTCGCTTCTTGTTCATAATTATTTCATCTGACGATGCCTCGGCTTAATATCCAATTCGGGGCTGTATACGCGACGGACAGACAGATAAGTCTGGTCTAGGAAGTCATTGGAGTGTTTCATGTTGTACAGTACCATGCTTGTCTTCTCATTTATCGCAGAATCTGTACTGTAGCACCGCCAAAGAAGCTTGTACCATGTGGGCCTCTCAAGCTTCCTTTGAAGTGGCATCGATTTCTCCGCAGGGCCCGTTCCCCGCGATTTCGCCCCCCGCATTTTTTCTGGAGGAGGAAGGAGACTAACATTTTCATTGGAACCAAGCGGTCACTCCGTACTGGTACAGGCCGTGTAACTCCACTACAAAACTTGTCCAGTTCCTCGGTTGTCACCCAAAGGGGTAGCATCTCCGCCCGTCCATCTCCCCTCCAAAGGATGTGCGAGGGAGTCATGACGGCTGCCACTTCCGCTATCTACACCCACCGGGTATCTAAAGGGTCGAGGCCCGGTGCTGGCTGTTGATCAATGTGGCCAGCCGTAACCTATATAAATTGAGTTCACCTTGCTTTGTCCGTCCAGATTCTCATCGGATTCGCATTTCCGCCACTGGCCGCGCGGTATTCGATTTAGTCATTGTAAACATTCTTCCCCAGTCTCTTTCCATCTACATTGAGCGCTATGGACATCGCAGTCCAGCGCAGCCAAGCTGGCGTCGACGAAAAGACAGCAGCACATTCATCTTTCAACGACAATGCAGCGAGTGATTTTAGCCACCGGGAGGTGGCTGGGCGAGACTCCAATGAGGAGGACATCGAAGGCGAAGTGAAGGTGCCAGTGCGTATAATCCTCAACTTCAGGAAGCAAAGACTGGCTGGATTGCGAACTTGCTGATCTTGTACGACTTTTAGATGACCTTTCGTCGGTTCATGGGTTTCACCGCAATGGCGTTCCTATGGACTGGAAGTCAGATTCCAGTCTACTTATTCGGTATGGCTACGCTGATGTCTATCCAACGCGGAGTCAGTGCTCTAACATCTCGTTAGGGGGTATCCCGCCTTATATTTATCGAGAGATTGGTGGGGCAGATAGATGGGTCTGGTTTGTAAGACTACACCACGATCTCTTGAGGCATTGTTCAATACCGACTAGTATCATATAGGTCCTGGCGAATCTTCTTGCTCTCGCTGGCGTCTGTCCTTTCGTCGGATCGCTGTCGGATCTGATCGGTCGTCGATATGTTGCCATCATTGGAGCCTCGCTCATCTGCGTTGGTATGATCGTGAGCAGTACAGCCAACACGATGAATACATTTATTGGTACGTTCACCAAAGTTGCCACTCTTCAGACTGTGGAATATATCTAACAACCTGAAGCCGGAATGGCAATTGCAGGGGCAGGAGCAGGTGTCAACGAACTCACTGCGCTGGCTGCGACCTCTGAAATGGCACCCACGCGACAGAGGGGCAAATATGTGGCGGTGTTGATTTTCACCATCTTACCATTCTGTCCCTCGGTGCTCTGGGCCCAGCTCATTGCAGCACACAGCAGCTGGAGATACGTCGGCGCATTCTGCGGAGCGTGGAATGGATTTGGGTTGCTGGCCACAGCGCTCTTTTACTTCCCACCACCTCGAGTAAACTCCGAGGGATTGAGCAAGGCAGAAGTCATCCGTCGTATTGACTTTGTCGGCGGATTCCTCAGCATTTCCGGTCTCATAGTCTTCTTGGCTGGCTTACAATGGGGTGGTTACATGGTAAGCGTAGCATGAGATATTCCTTCGCACTGTCTTTCTAACCGCCGTCTCTACGTTCACAGTACAGCTGGAAAACCGCTCATGTCCTCGTCCCGCTTATCCTCGGTTTCGTACTCCTCGTCCTCTTCGCTGTCTGGGAAGTCTACGGCGCGAAGTATCCCATCTTCCCAAGTCGCTTGAAGCAAGAACCCTGGACCTTGGGTTTGACGCTAGTTATCACCTTCATTTCCGGAGCGAACTTCTTCTCCGTCCTCATGTTCTGGCCTACACAGTCGTTCAACGTCTACGGCCACGACCCCGTTGACGTGGGTGTTCGCAGTATCCCCATCGGCTTTGCCATCCTGATCGGTGCATGCATCGTGCTATGGCTGCTGAGTGTGCTTCGTGGTCATAACAAGGAGCTTCTGATCCTGAGCAGCGTTCTTATGACAGCAGGTCAGTCTTAGACTACAAAACCAAAATGCAATTCTGTATAAACGCTAATCTCCACCAGGCTGCGGCGCCCTCTCCATTGGCCGAGTCGACAACCTCTACCAATTATGGGGTATTCTTGTCCTTGCAGGCCTAGGAATCGGCGGCATCGTCGTTCCAGCATCCATCATGACAACCATCATCTGTCCAGATGTAAGATCGCCATAGCTAACCCTCGTTCTGCCCACCCTTCCTCCAACCCACAATTCTCCCTTCTTCCACCCCAGCATCATCCCACCGCGCAGCCAGCCCTGCGAATAGCCTCGCCTTCAAATCAGCTCAAATTCCTCTTCAACAACCCATACCAAACCCAGCTAACACCTCACTCCTCCCTCCATAGGACCTAATCGCCACCATCTCTGCCCTCACCCTCTCCATCCGCGTCGTCGGCGGCGGCATCGGCTACACAATTTACTACAACATTTTCATATCCAAGTTCGTGCCCAACGCCGAGCACTACATCGGCGGCGTCATGATGACGCAGCTCAACATCACCAACCCACAATACATCGCCGAAGCGATCCAGCTGACGGGCGCATCGCTCCTCGACGAGCTCGACGCGATCCCCGGCATCGCCGGCAACCCCGCGGCGTACGAGGCGGTCGTGACGGCCGGTCAGATAGCATTCGCAGAGAGCTACAAGTGGGTGTACTATGCCAGCATCGGGTTCGGCGGGGTGGCGATCCTGGCGGCGTGCTTTCTGGGGGATGTGCGGCGGTATATGAACGATCATGTGGCGGTGGTGATGCATTGATGCGCAACGATGGGACGGTCTACAGGGGGAAGAAAGGTATAGGGCTAGGGCAGATACCGCCCTACGATAATGATACATTGACGCTTGATGCTTCTAAGACGGTCAGGTGGTGGATGGTCCCTTGCTTGTTTTGAGATTGGTTCAACCCTGTACATAACTACAACTAAAGCTACACATATAGCATTGCCGGAGAAAAGAAGAGAACCACAAGCAGGACAAAGATTTATATTCCCAAGTTTCAACCGCGGGAGCATGGGATTCCCCCAAAATCCGGCCCACCAAGAACTAGACTCCATTTATTGTACAATACAAAGTTGTTGCAATGAGCAAGATCATCTATCCCTAAGAACAAAGTCCGACAAAAATGAGGGAAAACAAACACCCAATAACATTTCAGAAGGTCACCCGGATGGAAAAGAACAAGACAAAAAAAGGGAAAAAAAAATGAAGAAGAAATAAAGAGAGAGAAGCCAGCAAAGAAAAATATGAAGAAGAAGGGCAGCGCCGACCATGTCCCAGAGACTTTTTTCTTTGCTTGTGCGAGTAAACTCGATGGTCCTGAAGTAGTAGGTTTCTTTCCCGCCTATTGACGCCTTTCACAATGCCGGGTATTTACGTCAAAAAATAGTGATGAGTTGGTTTCTTTATGGCAAATGGAGACTGTTATGTCCAAATGTCTCAGGGTTTCTTTTTGCGATGCAGAAAGGAATTTTGCCAAGTATGAGGGGTTGGGGGGTGAGGGCAAAAGTAAAGAGTATAAAGGAGGTATGTGTGGTGAAAGTGGTGGAGAAAGGGGTGGGACAAAATGAACAACAGAGATTGGGATTATAAGACATAGAGCAAAAGAAAGGTGAAACCCCAAGTTCCTGTCAGGAATTGTCCCCGTTGGCTTCGCTTTTGATATCGGGCTCACCAAATGCATCATCTGCAGCGGCCATGTCCGGTGTTAATCCGTTCTTGAGCTTGCTGCTGGGAGGGACGGGCTTCTTCCCCGCCAGCTTCTTGGGAGCACCGAGTTTCTTCTTCTTGTTCATGGTCGGCGGGCCATCGTCGTCGATCAGGGGGCGTTTGGGCGGAGCGGAGGCGGGCGTGCTGCTGCCGTTGTTGTTGTTCTCCAAGGGAGTCTTGTTGCGGCCACCCAGTGGTCGGCCGGAGATGCCCAAGCAACGGTCCAGATGCTGCGCCACGCGGGTCACGACAAAGTATCTTGGGCAGTTCGGACACTTCACCGTTGGGAACGATATTCTTTCCGGTACAGCCTGCTTGAAGGAGCCGTCGGGGGTGGTGGGTGGGCTCGACCCGGGAGTATTCGAGGTGGTGACTTGCTTCTTCTTCTGAGGTTTTACCTTGTCCGTCACGAATGGGTTCCCGTTGACGTCGTGGCCAGGTTTGCTGATCGTCGGCTGCTTCTGGCAGTACTCGCGGTACGGGTCGGGAGGGGCACGAGCCCCAACGCCTGTCACAGGGTACAAAAGGCGCGGCAGCCGGCAATCAGGACAAATGATGTCCTTGGTGGTTTGTAGAGGGTTGCCCTTCAAGTAGACCTTGCCCTCGTCAAAGACGGCCCCATCGGTTTCCACGCGAATGTCCTTGAGTTCCTCGAAATCGAGATCGCCAGGCTTGAACGCGCTGGCCGGTTTTCCGCTTTCTTCGCGACGCCTGATCGCCTCCTCATCTGCCTTCTGTCGCGCAGCAACGACCGCGGAACGCATGCGAGAAACCTTCTCATCGCGGTGCACTTTGGCGACTATGTCATGGATGATGTTGTAGAATGTGTCATTAAGGATTTCGCAGGTCTGCACTGTATTAGTACGGTGTAGAATAGAGCGCAACTAGTGGGCAATAGATCTGCGCAAATACAACGTGATTCATCATGCTTGAGGTGCTTACGAGTTTCGCTATCGTCCCTGGAGGGAAAGAGGACCCCCGTTCCTCAGCCCCGTTTGACTCGCCCATCCTTGTAATTTGTGTGTTCTGAAGTACCGATAGTTAGACACTGCATAGCCTCAATAAATGAGCTACATGAGAGAGTCTCTCATAAGAGATTCGCTTCGTATGATAAGAACGTTTTCATATGGCTCTATCAAGGGCAGCTGTCATGCGAAAGCCACAGCCCGAACGTACCTTGATATCAACGTATCCAACTCCAATCTGTGCGGTTGGGTCTCCCAAAAGGTCGGCCAGTATGGCAAACTCCGTCTTCGTGCAAGATAAAGCCCCAAAAGCTTCGACGTTATAGCTTCATGTAGATTGTATGCACTGTTCAAGCAAGTTTGATTCGGAGTTCTTTGGTCGCCGACGGATGCGGATCGATTGGGATGATGTCGTAATAGACAGTCGAGTGTGTGTTGGTCAAATCTGACGAAGCCGTTAAGGAGGGTAGGTCTATAGAGATACCAGTCGATTTCAAAGGGGTAACACGCGAAAAGGAGGAAAGGTATTGCCCATTTGACTTTCAGTGGTGACGGGCGTTTATTAACTGGAGGCGGGAAACTGCCTGCGTACGGTAGGGAGAATCAGCGGACTGCGCGCTACGCCCGTCATCCCAACTTGGAGTGTCCACTCACCTGGATACCTGAGATTATAATCATATATATAGCAGTGAAGCTAGTCGTGAGGAAGAACAGGCCAAGAAAAGACCAAAGAGCAAGCGACAGGCGCAACACCAGGGGGCAATCCTGGATTTGAGGGGGGGCCGTAGAGAGAGAGGCTCTTTCGGCGCTGGCCTTTGCCTCATCCAGCCCGGTCCGACCGCCCGATCTTATCTTATCGCATCTCCGCGTTTTCCTCTTCCACCGCTTTGAATCGCGCGTTTCCCCTCTTCTGGCGTCTTTCCCCTCCTACGTTCTCTGCTCGTTTTCTCGTCTATCATTTAATCGATCATATAGTCCTATGCCGCTATAAACAGCTGTTAATCCTTACCCTCTAAATTGTGCTGCTTGTAGCAGCTCATTTCTTGCCAGACATGGCATACCAATTCTTTGCAAAGGCGCATCAATCCAAAGCGCCTACCTCTCCACCTTTGTCTGCCCCTCAGGCTTCAGTGTCGACGTTTTCTTCCTCCAAACCCGCGCAATCTCGAACGCCGGTATACCCGGCGGCCCGTCTATCTTCGTCCTCTTCATCGAACCCATTCTCACTCAACTTGCCCACCAGAATGCAGCCCCCTTCTTCCAAAGACACACCCTTCGAGCCGACCGCGTATCCCCAGCGCATAGCATCAGGCCACCCCACTCCGCACCCGCACGTCACGGTCGAAGTCGTGAGTACGGCTCACATACCCTCCCTGACTCGGATCACGGGGTTGCTGCTGCCCATTCGCTACCCGAACTCATTCTACACAGCCACGATCACTGACCCCGTGATCGCGTCGCTGTCCCGCGTGGCCATCTACCATGATCATCCGTTGGCCGCAGCGCCCGCATCGACCGCACCTTCTTCGTCGACCAATCTTAAGGCACCAACAACTGGTACCGATAAAGTCATTGGGGGGATTCGCTGTCGGCTGGAGCGACTGCCTTCCACTGCCGCGGAATTTCTGCAGGCACGTCACCACTCCCAGCAGCAAGAACCGACCAACCTCTACATTCAGACACTTCACCTTCTTTCTCCGTATCGAGGGTGTGGAGTTGCAGCCTCACTGCTTAACTCGCTACTATATGCTTCCTCGCTTCCCGCTGCGTCCTCGAATCTAGAAGCTCCACCTCCAGTCTCCGACCTGGTGAGACATTACAACATTCGCACTGTCACGGCACACGTGCACGAGGCCAACGAAGACGGTCTGAAATGGTACCTTGCGCGTGGCTTCCAATTAGAGGACGGCGTTGTTGAAAATTACTACCGCCGCCTGAAACCCTCTGGAGCCAGAATTGTCAAACTCATCCTGCAGTGGAACGATGACGAGCACGTGCATGTGAAAACCCAGGTTTCGAACAGTCTACCATCTATAAATCCGAAGCACAAGTCAGTCAATGAAGACAACGATGAAGACTGGGAGAAGGTCGAGGCAGAAGACGAGCAGGAGGACCATGGAGTGCAGCCAATCTTGGATTCGGAATCCAAGCTTTCCGAAGCCGACGATAGCATTATTAGGAAGCGCAAGGCTGAAGAGGATCACCCAAAACGTTAGTCTGCTATCGCCTCAGTTTTTTGTCATCATGATGTCCAAGTCTCGTCACGCGTTGCATTGTTTGGGCATGTTGTTTTGAATTACCATGGATACCCTGTTTGCTACCTGCATCATACACTTCATAGAACACACATCTTCTACCTGTGCTGTGCTTATTGGAATTCCGTGATCACCTCTCATTCATGTGTCGGAGTAGTTTACTGCGAGAATTTGTATTACCTGAAGTGATTTGTCTTAGAAGAATAATTTGGAATAGACTCAAGGCTGAATACATTGCCAGAGTCATGTCAGGCCTCTCACTAGCATAATTGTTTCCCAAAAGAACATTAGTGACGGAGTTGGATGTGTGTTTCGACCCTTACCCACTGAGTGCGCTGAGAAGATAGTGTATCCCTGGTGGCTGTGATTTGTAGGAAACATACTGACTTTCTTGTCAAGTACCTTGAAGTAACTACACACACCTCCATGAGTGATAGACATGGTGAATGTGATCCTCGGCTGTGGTAGGCAGTTACCAATTTGTGTTAGTGTTCCACAACCCACCTTGAAACCCACAGCCAGAGCCTTCTACGGTGGACTGCACGGTCCAGACCCACTATCGCCTATATAAAAGGAGCGTTGCGTCCCACCCACCCCGCCCAAGAATATCCCGCATTGTTCAAAAATGTTTCATCACTTTCTCATCTCTCCCTACAACTCAACTCTGCCTACAATAATCCCTTATGAATGTCACGACAATGGCTCAAGAACGCTTTACACGCGCCTTGGCCTTGTATTATGAACACTAACATTCTCTCCAAATTGACTTACTCCTAAAAGTGCATCCACTGCTACCCCTGGGCAGCAGACGATCAAGAGACGCGTCATACCGGCAACAACCAGCCAGTGTGATGTAATGGCTGAATACACCTCAGGCCATCAAGGTGATCCGTCCGAATCCCAGCATCGGCAATCTCCTTTTTCCTACATGCGCCGCCGCTTCTATCAGCACGCCTACTACTGGCTTTCTACTTAGTCGACACATGGCTGCTACAGGTACCTGGAAAATTTGTCTGCACCAGAGGTTCTTATATAGTTCCTCTCAGGCTTCCCCTTCTTTTCCTGGTTTGATGGAATCGTACCCCTTCCACAATATAAGCTAGAAAGGATAACACTACATCAACAATCGCCGGTGTGGTGCAATGGTAGAACGCGCCGCCAGCTTGGGCGAGATCTGGTCGAATTTCAGCAGTGGCGCTTTCTTGCCTTTTTGTGTCCTTCGCAGCTTCCCAGAACAAGCGCCTTTTGTCAGACAATCACGCAGTTTTGAATCGCAGGAAAGAGCACAGAATATAGCCAGATCAGTGTCGCTTATTGCTAGCCTCCTCACTAACCCAGTAACCACGCAGGAGGGCGAACATCGTGGCTTCTCTGCAGCTCGCGCCGAAACGAGTCCGCGCTCGAGAGCAGGGGCTGTCTAGGCGTGGGACTGACTTGGGCTACTAGCCTCGGCAGCCGGCTCACAATCGCCGTGGTGGTGTAACTGGTAACACGCCTCTCGCCATGAGAGGAGATCTGAGTTTGATCCCCAGCCTCGACAACCTTGTCTATCTGCATGTTTTTCAGCTTCCTCTTCTATCAATATGCGCGCGAAGCCCTTAAAGCTCAAAATTCACTATCGATGTTCCAGAGCACCTGTCCTTTCCCCTACACCTGCGCCAACGGCCCTACCTCGGAGTGACGATACAGTGTAGGATGTCTAAGAAGGAAGGAGGAAACTGGAATACGCGTGGTAACTCTTTGGGGTCTACATAAGGCACAATCAGGGTCCGAAACGCTCGGTTTCGTGTTGAGTGAAAGGCCTATTCGCAATCGCCACAATATTAGCATATTCTGTCTTTGCCAGGGCCTGCTGCGCACGCTTTTTGCAGCCATTTGACTTCCACCTGGGGAGCATGTTGTCAAGAACTGGCCGTGTACTGCCAATGAGACCCGGGGTGGTGTAGCGGTCTGCACGGCTGTTGCGTTCGGGGTAAACCCATCCGCACCATTACAGGCCTGTGTTTCGAATTCCAGCTCCGGGTATGTTCTTTTTTTTCCGTTTCTATTTTCCCCTGTACCCGTCGCCTGAAAAAACGTACTTGGATGCTGCGGAGAAGTATAGCATAGCGAGATCAAGAGTAGGTATAGTATTTAGCACTATTGTGTTTTGGTAGACTCAAAGGGATCGGTCCACTCAATCAAGCTACTTCCATGACAAGGACGAACTACATGTGTCCCAACAGCTTAAACCCACGAACGATATATTCTAGGCTCGATAGAGTAAAGAAACACCTCGAACTGCTTGGACGACAGATAGGCTACAGCAGCAGTTAGATCTCGATCTATGGTATACAGACTAGTGCCGCTAACACGCTAAGCAGCAGGACTACGGGAGCTCCCCACTTCACCGCCCAAAGATAACCCCACAATTCTGCCACCGAAAAATGCAACGCAGTTTGAATTCACCGACAAACCAACCTACGAACCTTCACTCATCCAGTCAGAGAGTTGTTCAAACCAGCGCATTATCTCTTTCCCATTCCTCTATCCAATCTTGACAACTACCAACGAGCCGAAAGCATCAGATCAACAACGAAACGAGCCTCTCCACCATCCTCAAACGCAATCATGGCCTCGACAGCGCCGCCCCCAGCCCTGACCCTTCCCCCCTCCCAATTCGCCCGCCTCCAACCTCACGCCTACCTCCTCGCGCACCTCTCCCCGCCAGCGTCCAGTAACCAACCCTCCCTCCGCGCCAACGGCCGCCAGCCCGCGCAGTTCCGCCCCACCTCCGCCAACACGGGCTCCCTCACCCACACGAACGGCAGCGCCGTCGTCCGCGTCGGCGACACCACCGCCGTCTGCGGCGTGCGCGCCGAACTCCTCCCCACGAGCGACATCGCCTCGTGGAGCGTATCGCACGCTTCGTCCGGCGCTCACAAACGCGCGACGACCACCAAGAATGACGCCGACGCCGACGAAGACGAATCCCAGATCCAAGACCTCAACCTCCTGGTGCCGAACCTCTCGCTGAGCACCGGCTGCGCGCCGGGGTTCGTGCCGGGCGCGCCGCCCTCGGCCCTCGCGCAGTCCCTCTCCCATCAGATTCTGGGGCTGTTGCATAGTACCCGGTTGGTGCGGGCGGAGGATCTGCGGGTTTGGTATCAGGTGCCTACGTTTGGAGGGGATGGGGATGGGGATATGGATGTTGATGTGGAGGAGGGACACGAAGGGCGGAAGAAGAAGAACGACGGGAAAGAGATCAAGGCGTTCTGGGTCCTGTATATCGATATCATGATCATCTCGCTGGCGGGGAATGCGTTTGACGCGGCGTGGGCGGCGGTCCTGGCGGCGTTGCGGGATACCCGGTTGCCGCGCGCGTGGTGGGATGCTGATAATGAGATGGTCGTGTGCTCGGAGGCCGTGGCGGAGGCGACGAGGCTGTCGTTGCGGGGATTGCCGGTTGCGAGCTCGTTCTGTGTGTTTGAGGCGGATGCGGCGGCGGGCTGGAGGGCGGTGATTGTGCCGGATGCTGAGGAGGAGAAGAAGATTGAGGAGGATCAGCGGAGGGGTATGCAGCGGCGATGGATTTTGGCGGATCCTGATGGGTATGAGGAGGGGTTGAGTCAGGAGCGCGTGTGTTTGGTGGTGGACCGGGAGATGGGGAAGACGGTGATTGTCAAGATGGAGAAGAATGGTGGGTGGGCGGTGGATGGGAGGGAGCTAAAGCAGTTGGTGGATATCGCTGCGGAGAGATGGGAGAGTCTGAAGCTTATCTTGGAGCAGTGTTGAGATTTTCCCTTCCTTTTATTCTTCTAACATGCGTGAAAATAGCTAGTGTTACAGTAAATGATACCAGATTCGTTGTCATCTCTTTTCTTATCGCTTTCTTCTCATCTCCTCGTGGTCAGTGATTTAGTATTGTAAGGTAAGTCAACAAGCACCAGCAACCTAAAACGTCACGAGTGCGCAACTCCAACAATGCATCTAATTCAACAATCTCTTTCAAGGACTGGTTGCGCCTGCATGGCGAGGACTTCGCCGACGACGCTTGGTCGGAGGCTCACTGTCACCCTCTGCGCCCACAACCGACCAATTCTCTTCGTCTGCTGCACTCGACTTACTGCTGAGCTCGGGACTCTTTGATTTGAGAGCTTTCTTCGCCTTGTTGGGATAGAAGAGGGAGACTGTAAACAATTCGAAGTCTTTGGCCTCCTCTCCTTTGTCACTGGATGTGTTGGGGTCTTTATCATCGTCATCATCAGCATCATCACCTTCCGCCTTCTTGTCCTTTTCTTCGGACGTCTCAGCACGGCCGCTGTCGGAGTTCTTGCAATAGGAGAGAATGCGAGAAAAGAAGCCCAGATTTTCTTGGTGTTCGGGATGCTCCTTCTTGCCCTCTGATTTCTCATCACTCTCCTCATCATCCCCGTCCTCCTCGCTGAACTCCCACATCTCGCCGATCTCGTTTCTAATCAAGGCAGTGCCCCACAAAGAGATCAGGACCCCGGGGACAAGGTACAAGAGAGCGGGCTGAGGATGATCAAAGATCTGCATCACCACCAGCGTCGCAATCATCCCCACTAAGTATCCGACAACACTGGCCTTGAAGTACGTCTTGGGGAAAGACCGAGCATCGTGGTATGGGGGTAGCAATTCAGGCTCCTTCGGTGCCACGGACCGCGTCCAGAAGCGCTCTCCCCAGCCTCCAGTGGCGGATTGATATATGGGCTTAATGAATCCCACTCCGTTGCCCTCCGCCCGAGCCTTCTGCAAGCCCTTCCGCTTGTAGTAGAGGTAGAGGTCAAAGCGCAGGGCCAGCCCCACCATCATACCCGGGATGATAATATCGCCCAAGCCCAACATAGCCAGCGACACAGTGTCGGGAGCTTCGCCAGAGACCGGAGGCCGCGGGAAAAGAAGCTTGATGGGCACATCGAGTTTCTTGGCGACTGTCACCATGAGCGGGGTGAAGTAGACGAAGTAGATATCGTAGAAGAACAGGGATCCCAGGATGAGCGATCCGGTCACGAAGGTCGACAGAGACATGAACTGCAAGGTACCGTAGCAGAAGCTGAAGCCCAAGAAGTTGGTCAGCCACCATGGCTTGGTGACGAAGGTGAAGTAGCCGATCGCGGGCAACGCCAGGAGGGTACTGAGGAGATCCAGCATATCCAGCCAGATTTCGCCACGCACGAGTCGGTGCACATGAACGCGAAGCTTAGCTCGCCAGTATAACGTGCTGCGAAGTTTCCAGATCGCAGTACGTACAGCACCAGGCAGCGGGATTCGACTGAAGACGCCGGGGAGGGGAGAACGCCGAATGTCTGCCGACTGAGGGTTGTTTGATTCGATTTTGGCGGCGATGAAAGACTTCTCGAAGGGTTTCTGTTTCCAGGTTCGGCCAGCGGAGCTGTATCTCTTTGGAAAGAGGAAGGATCTGACGACAGAGAGAAAGTCTTTCAGGAACGCTATAGCGAAGAAGAGCCCCATCTGCGAGAAGTAGTAGCCCAGGATCTTGTTCAGCGTCTCAGCCCCTTTGTACTTGATGAACAGATACAGTCCTCCGAGTGTGAGTCCGGCTGTTAAAGGGAACATCAAGGCGTCGCTTGGTGCCAGACCCTCCATCTTGTGGCCATTGCTTTTGTTTTCCTCCTCCGACTCATCGTCATCCGATTCGTACTCAGAGTCTTTCTTCTTGGGGGTTTTTGTGGCCGACGGCGGTTTCGCTAAGGATGCATGCGCGCCGATATAGATAGGAAAAATCGCGGAGAGGAGGAGGTGGCCGTAGGTTGGGAGAAGAGGCTTGATGAGGGTAAACTGATAGATGACCTGGCCCAGGATCTCCGCGAAAGGGCTGACGTCGTCCATGGTGGCTGCGGAGGCCTGGAGCAGGGGTAAGATGGCTGAACTATGAAATATGCTGCCTATGTGAGGAGGCGAAATGGGGTTCTGAAAGTTGGGGCAGAAAGTGCTCAAGCCATAGCTGTTGAAGCAGTGTGTTTACCAGTATCTTGGGATGCGGTCATTGTTCCGCGTGAATATGCAACGCCAAGGCCGAATGTTCACTTTCCCGCCGCACCTCCACCTTTGCATGTCCCATCCTTCCCCTCTAAAAATTCGTGTATCAGTACTCGAGTACTAGCTTATCTCTCACAATGGCCACTGATGTAGTATTCGATACGAGCATGGTATGTCTATGGGGAAGTATTTCTAGAGAGCTTAAGCAGCTAACAGGTCCCAGGGCTCGTTCACTGTCGAGCTCTACAATGCGCATGCGCCCAAGGTCAGTCACAGAAAGACTAAGTTCACTACGCACACTTCAAGGTTCTTCTGAGTTGACTCATGCCATACCATCTAGACGTGTAAGAACTTCGCAACCCTTGCGCAACGAGGATACTACAACGACGTCATTTTCCACCGCATCATCCCCAACTTCATGGTTCAGACTGGCGACCCTACCGGCACAGGAAGAGGAGGAAGCTCCATCTACGGCGAGAAGTTCGAGGACGAGATCAATCCCAATCTGAAGCATACCGGAGCTGGCATCCTGAGCATGGCGAACAGCGGTCCCAACACCAATGGCAGCCAGTTCTTCGTCACGCTGGCACCGACGCCGTGGCTGGATGGAAAGCACACTATCTTCGGCCGCATCAAGAGCGGCATGAGGGTGATCCAGCGCATGGGTCTCGTGAAGACGAATGGCGAGGATAGACCGATGGACGAGGTCAAGATCATCCGCGCCAGGGTCGTGGAAGAAGGCACGGACGAGTGAGATCGTTGTGGGGGAACATCGAATACTGCGAGGCAAATTGGACCAAAGAGCTCCGTTGACACGTCCCAGCAATGTCTACTTCCTGCCAGTGGAACAAAGGACAGTCGTTGGGCCATATGGAGGTCAGGATAACCAGGGCTTGAGAAGCATCCTGGCGCCGAAAACCACGCTATTGGCGGCGTCACGCACAGCACTGACAGCCATATTTCCGTGCCATCACGGCGATACATGGCTCAATTGTTGAGGTACAGAAGCTACAGCTTGCTATCTGCGAAGGAGAGAAGGTACACTCATGTAGTTCGCAGACAGACAGATGATTTTAGATGAGTGGAATGTATCACTACAAAACGAACCGCTTCCATCAGATGTTACCATCCAGAGCAGCAGATACAGAGTGAAGATTCTTTCTACCACTCCTAATAAGACAAGGACCAGTGAAGGCTTGTCCGCGGACGACATACTGCTACGGTTGAGACAGCAGTAAGCCTGTGCAGAGCACTAGGAGTGGTGTGAAGAAGAAAGAAACCTGACGTTGTGGGAGAATTGCTCCTTAAGCGGTTCTCCCAGATGCCGCCTAACCGTATCAGGAGTAGTGCTTTATCTCGGAGCCTGAGGCACATATCTTCCATGTATGATGCAACAATGCATAGCTCCTCTGCTATACGAAGTACTATGTAGTAGGAAGGAATTTCCAGCTAGCTCTGAAGGGACTCTTAAGGGAATTAGTACAGCTTGGCTTGATTTCGAGGAGTACAGAGCTTGATCTATAGCGCTGTGTTTTCTGTCGAATGCAAGTTACAGCTCCGCATTACCTATCCATTCATCCTAGCTCCTTGCCTTTGTCTTGTGTTAACAGACAAGCTGGTGAAGAACATCATTAAGCACGCAATAACTCACTTTCTACAGACAAAAATACAGATCATCGAGGTACTCGATGCACTTGTATCATTTTTTGCAAATGTCACCATGGACACCTAGAGCGGGTCCGGTGATGGTCCTCACGTGATCCACCACGGCGGGTCATGTATTTCTTCGCGCGTCCTTCGATTTCTTTTTCTCCCTAAAAAAACCTTCTCGTTCTCGAGACGAATGGTTTGGGTTGCACCACCCATGGGCTGGATATTCCTGCTACGAAGGTGTTCAACAGCTTGTCATCCAACGTGACGGCAGCTGGCTTTGCTCAACACACATCACTACAACACTAAGCCCCTCATTCTAGCTTTGTATGCTGCCAAGTCATCATCGCAATGGAGTCACTAGCGGATACGCCGTGGGATGTAACAATCTCTGGCACTGGGCTGGCCCAGTCTCTCCTAGCACTGTGAGTTCTATTCAATGAAGGTGCTTGTCAACTGCATCGCTGACTGCTGGGTGCTTGACAGGGCCCTGTCTCGGTCGGGTAAGAACGTCCTGCACGTTGATAGGAATCCCTACTACGGGGGCGCCGAAGCTGCATTCAGCCTTCAGGAAGCCGAGGAGTGGGTCAATAGAGTCAACCGTGGTATGTCCATCGTTCTCTAGCTACAATCTGAGCACTGTCTGACGGGTATGGATAAGTGAAGAGACTGGTGATCACCCCTTCGAAGATGCTAGCGTACGCCTAGGAGATGGAGGATCTCCTGAGGCCGGTAAACAATTGTCCGCTTCTCGAGCATACACTCTCTCGCTGTCTCCGCAGCTTATCTATGCCCGCTCGCAGTTGCTTCCGACCTTGGTTACGTCCAAGGTTCACCGACAGCTTGAGTTTCAAGCCGTCGGCAGCTGGTGGATCCACAGACCTGGGGATAGCGGTGACAAGCGATTGTATCGCGTCCCTGGCAGTCGCGAGGACATATTTGCGGATGACATGATCAGCATGAAGTCCAAACGAACCCTGATGAGGTTCATTCGTCATATCGGGCCGTCTCAACTGGGCTCTGATGAAGCTGAGGGAGAAGGCTCGTCGCTGGAAGAGGACGTTGGTGATGCATCCTTGACGGAGTACTTGACATCCAAATTCAAGGTGCCGGACGAGCTGCATGCACCGTTGCTTTCCCTCTGTCTATCGCAAGCCTCTCCCCAGCAGACGTCGGCTCAATTTGCCGTGACTCGCATCAAGAGGCATTTGGCCTCTTTGGGTGTCTATGGCTCTGGCTTTGGAAGCCTCGCTGTCAAGTGGGGGGGTGGCTCCGAGATCTCTCAGGTCGGGTGCCGCGCCCTTGCCGTGGGTGGCGGCGTTTATGTTCTGAACACTGGCATTCAATCACTGGAATTTCCTGCGGAGGATACCACGAGTGAAGATTCTCGCATTCAACTGCTGCTATCAAATGACGAGGTCATTAAGACCAAGTTTGTTGTCGGCTCCAACTGGGATTTCCCTGAAGCAGCTCGCTTGTCTTGTGATTGTGACAGAGTAGCCCGGTCCATCTCGGTCGTTTCATCTTCCCTCGAGAGCCTCTTTCCGGCCACGGCGGAGGGCGGACCAGTGCCTGTTGGGGCGGTTGTCGCTTTCCCTGGTGCTTCTCTTGGGCGGGCTGATGATTCGCCTCCGGTCTATATTCTAGTTCACTCTAGCGAGACGGGCGAGTGCCCAACAGGACAATGTAAGTTGTCACTACTTTTTTTAACTCCTTTCCTACCCCTCTGCTCTTATGATGACTTATCTTCAAAACTTATCTACATTGCCTGATCACTATTGATGTAAACTTCACGAAGACTGATAAGGAGCACCCCACACTTTTGTTGATCTCTGCATGATTATTTACAACATCTTGCTAATATGTGTTCTCAGGTGTCCTTTATGGTAGTATTAACATGCCCGGGTCCGATGGCCAGGCCTTGATCGATCGTGCTGTACAGCAGCTTCTCGAATCGGCTGGCGGTCCCAACGCGCAAGTTCTTTGGTCGCTCTGTTATACTCAGTTGGGACGAGCCGAGACTTGCTCCGCTCGGCCTGCCAAGGCCGCTGAGCGTATCATTCGCCTTCCACCCCCAAGCCTTGACCTGGCTTTCGATGATGCTTTGATTGACACGGTCAAGGATGCCTGGCAGGCTATCATGGGTGATGAGGCCACCGACCACGAATTCATGACATTCGAGGATCGTGAGGGTGCCTACGAGGAATAATGTAGCTGTAAATACTTTCTGTATTACTACAGTGACGATTTGACGAATACACTTAATGATCATAGAGCTTCTGCCAATAGACCTGATAATCCACACGTTGACTGAATGTTGATCATTTTGTGACACATGGACTGTCTCCCACTCTGTAGCCGATGTACGACCCTCGTATTACCTTGTATCCCCTATCTTGCAGATGTCATATGCAGCCTGACAAAGCGACAAGCTCAGCTAGTGAAAGCTTGTGAGATGGGATCAAGCTCCGTGGCACACTCGTGGCCGTAGCACTTGCTGCACTAGTGTACAGTACCTGTACCTGAATGTACCTGGAGATGTGCTGTACATGTACATGTACCTGCTTATCATCACCGAATTCAAGCCAGCAAGCCACACCCACATACCATAGAAGCACAACCTCGTCTCCTCCGGTGCGTATCCGACTTTCTCTCCTTTCCAAAAAGGATACCAATCAAAGGTTCCCGGACATCATCCTTTCTACCGGGCTACATCCACCGCCGCTGGCACCACACCCAAACTCACAAGATAAGAACACCACATCCCACGAACTGAACTTTCAGAGGCTCAGAATCCCTCACTCTCATCCTCTTTCTCTCCCGTACCCCCCCGATAGCATGCAGAAAAGCAGAGAAGTGTACGCCCGCGTAGAATAACAGCCCCACAAAAGGGAGAACGAGTGGGCCGCGCACCCTCCCGCACCCCCCACGTTCGATCACATCTGAAACAGGCTGTCTTTCAATAGTCGGCTCGCCCAGCGGCCCAAGGGTGGACTACCGTACTTACTTGAACTTGCTGAGTATGGTTTGGGAGGTTCTTAGCATGTCCGTGATTGGGGAAATCAGGGAAGGCTTTTTTTTCCTGGAAGGAAGAAGAAGTACTAGAGTGAACTGGATACGCTCACCGGTTTGCTGCCTGTTGGGTGCGGGTATGGTTCTGAGGGAGTGGTATGGAAGTAGATTACCTGACTGGGTTATGGTACAGTACAGAGGAGGTTGGAGGAGGTTGGAGGAGGTTGGGAATGCCCTCATTTGGCTCGATCATGGCGGGATATGGCATCATGGATATAGGTAGGTTTATTTCGGGTGGGTGGTTGAAAGTTTGAGTACGTACGCGTTTGGGGTAGAGATCATATACGGGAAGACTGCCGCTCGTGTTGTTCCTGGTAGGCGGGTGAGTGGTTGATTAGTTGGTGAAGATGCTTCATACACATACATAGTACTCATACTGGTCTCCACGGATTACTCCGTTTAGATGTTAACGAAACATTATGGTGGTGAGTACTGCCGGGAAGCTGCATGCACTAGATTGTTGGCGGAACGAACTCCGTTGCGTCAAGGTGATACTGAGACTCTCTTCTCACAAGAATATGCCTTCATGCATGACACCCCACCCGGTTTGTTGATTGCAGGCAGGATGGGAGGGAGGTGAAAAGTCCCGGCGAATCGGTTGCGTGCTGCTAAACCGACGACGACAGTTTATCAACAAAGTCTAGTCTAATGCTTGATGACTTTGAGCAAGGCAATGAGTCTATTGCTCACCCGCGACAAGGGGCGCCATGCGACAAGCTACACACTATACAATTACTCTTAAAGAAATTCATAAATAGCACAGAAAACATTGTCCCGTTCTTTGCAAGTTGGAAAAGTCCCGGTTCGATGGCAATTGGCCCGGGAACCGCACCCTTGGGAAGAAGGACAGCCTGAGCCATTTTGGACCCTGAATGGGAGAACTCGGCGAACACTACGTAGCTGGTACGGAGCGGAGATGGAAGAAAGAGAAAGTTGTGGATCGATTGCCAATTGCCAGTTGCCCTTGATGTCATCGTACACGGGGGGTGCTTTTTTATCCCGGGCTCCGATTTTCTTTCTGTCCGGTTGTGGGAAAAGCGCGTTTGTTGACGATGAGTAACCGCTCATCCTTCCAGATTTAGCGATGGGGGATGGGGGGGTCTCGTCTGTCAGTGGGGGGCGCTTGTCTTTGTTCAGGATTGATAGACAGACAGCTGGGACCCGAACGGCCACAATTGGAGTGAAATTTAGGGGAAGGGGGAAGGTTTTTCCTTCCCTTTAACTCGGCGTAACCTGTACGATTATTTGCTGTGGAAGACAGATGGCAGAGCTGTTGTCTGCATGTGGTCTGACATGTCGGAAACCCGGACAGACCTGCTAAGTAGTTACAGTACATCAGACGGAAGCCAGCAAGATGGACGGACAATCGATCTCAGCTGTACGAATCGTCAAAATTTCCAGGGTCCCTGACAGCTGCCAAGGCTGGCGTTCAAGCTTAATTACCCGGCATTGAGTTTTGGCGAGTTGACAATAGCCACCCGCCCAAGGACATTGCAAAAGAGGGAATGACCTTGAAGATCCTTTTCTGTTAGATCTGTTTTTTACTCTTTCACCGCGAGTCAAGATGGTTAAATTTGGTCTGCAGTGTTGAGCCGAATAAAACGTGACCTTCCCCCCCAGACTTGGCCAGCCGGCTATGCGCCTAGTTGACTGAGAAAACCCCCTCCCTCATCGGATGCACAACAAGAAAAGCTCCATCAATGAAGATTCGGTTCGTAGGCGCAACAGTACGTAGTCAGTGGCAGGTCGCGGGCGTACACGCGTCCAGACAACAGGCTCCGAAAGTCTACTGTATATCATTGGACTCTGAATCTTCAGGTTTCATGGTTTGGACTTTGCTGATCGGAGGCGAATCCTTTGGCCCTGTCAGCCCATTACCCATACACCTGTGATTGTGAGGCTCAAGGCTGGGTGTCGTCTGGTTTGCCACTGCGCCGCAGTCCGGCGGCGACACGGCCGGGCGGGCGGGGAAGACACTGTTGTAAGGCGCTCATTATGTGGCCGGAGAAGTATCCATGGTTAACCTCTTAACCTGCTAAAGACAGAACGTTCACATTGAAGAGGTACTAGGTAGTCAGTCCACTTTTCTTGTCCCTTGGGTGTGGTCCTTCCAGGTACAAGTGTACTCGAGTAATACCCTACTGAGTAAATCGAACTCGAAGCGACGTGTGTATGTGACGGAGACCGAGCGGTCGCAGATGGAAGAGGGTATATTGAAATGATCCTCCAGTCCCTACGCAATAACGGGCACCATGGAATGGTGGTAGTGATTAGTGCTGAGTGTATTCTGACTGGCCTATTGACAGTGAGGAATTGATGGGATAGATGAAATGTTGCTGACGGGCAATGAGACTAGTTTCACCTTTGCACATTTTCACATTTTCAGCATTACTTACGGAGTACACTGTAATTCCACATCAACAGGGCAAGATGATCAACCTGATGGGACACGCGGCCGGTGGGGCTACTGGACCATCCCCCTAACAAGTCGCCCCTGAGTGGCTGGCCCGGCGGGAAACTGCACGCAGATCCAAAAGGGCGTTGCACCAAACCCGCCGCGGTCATCCCAGTTTTGACTACTGAAGTTGGCTTCCAACATGCTCTGTCTGTCTGTCTGTCGCGCGATCTGACACTCACTGGTAATTGTTTTGCAATTTTTATCATACTCCGTGGGCTGTTGAAACATCCCGGGTAGAAGAAGCAAAAGAGAAGCAAAACCTGAACCTGCAGCCACCGACTCATCGATGCACTGTTAGAAACTTTGAAAGAGTCAAGCAAGGCAAAATACGATAACGATAAGAATAGAATCCATTACATTTTCACATACGGCAGTGGCTGCGCTCTTCATGAACGCACCACTGGAACATTCCGAGAAGCCCTCGCAACTTAACCCTTCCGGGATGGAGCGAAGCACATTAGAAAAGCCCATTCTTATTGTCCGCCACCCACGATTCCCACCCCCCTCCCCCTCCCCCCTTTCCACCCCCCCAAAAAAAGACAAGCTGTCACTGTCACTTCCATCATCTGATACTTAACTTACTTACCGTTGTTCTGTAACACGGGAGAGCCCGGGTTTGAAATAGATAGATCAAGGCAGCAGCGGGCGATCAACTGTCTGAGATTTCTCGGCGTGCACGTTGACGACTACGCAATCGATCAGGGATCTTGAATGTGTTGGCGAGGGCAAATGTCACTAAACAGAGTACGCGCATACAAGTACTCATTCATACATGGTGTACATGTACATACTATGTTGCAAACACAATCATCGTCTCGTGCCATAGTGGGCCACATCACGACATCTGCAAAGAATACCCGAGAAACACGAGGGAGTTTAAAAAAGAACAGGTGGTCTTTATTCGATCCGTTCTGGTCGGCTTTCTCCGGTGGTTGACCGGATGATTCTGTTCAAGGGAGAGCTCTTTCTAATCGGTATCGGTATGCATGTATGTAAAAAGGTGCATTGGGAGTCTCAGAAGGATTGCGAGACGGGGGAAGTAGAGAAGGACCTGAGGAAAGCCAAGTGCATTGACGGTTGTTAGAACATGCCATCCATGGAATACTCTATCTATCACTTTCGTCTTGTCAATGTCAATCTCGCCATCGGCGATAGACATGACCATGGATGTATCAGCCTACAAATCGTGGGCTTCAACGCGTCTCGAGGACGGTCTGTAGAATGGCCAGGGTCCTCCAATGGTAATAATTGGAATTGAAAAATACGGCCAGGCACCGGACGAGGAGTGGGGAGCAGCAAAAAGGACCCATCCGCCATCGCCAATTTTGCCTCTATTCTTAAGTCAGGATCTGCACCAGAAGCAGCAGGAAAGAAAGCTTTTAACCTACGTAAAGGGCGCACGGTAGAAAGAAGCGAGAAGAAAAGACCGCGGAGGTTTATGCGAGCGGAGCAATGATAGTACTGAGTATGTAGAAACGGATGTAGATTACACCATGCGGGAAGGTGCCAGACAGGAAGAGGATAAGAACCACTTCACTATTGTCTCAATCTGCCCCTCACAGCTCTTTCCTATGTGTCTGGCTGTTTGGCTGTCTCTTTTTGTCCTTCTCTTTCTCTCTCTCTCACACACACTCGCTTCTCTTCCATTCGACCATGCAGTGCAACCAAGAACAATACGATAGTTGGGAAGAGAATCCCGACGAAACTGAGACCCTCAAAACCGCATTGATTGGTACAGAATATCGAAATTTGGGTAAAGGGTAATTTCCTG